GAGTCGAAACGAGCGGAAGTGCGGAAATGAGGCCAGCGCTGCAGCGGGAGCACGACTCGGAACGAGCGGAAGCACGCCGGAATCGGCCCGGGAGGCTCCCGGGCGCCGGAAGCAGAAATTCAGCATTTTCAAAAGAAATGTTTATTGGTTGGCCTTTTTTCGGCGCCGCCTCGGACCTCGTTTTTCCGGGGCCGGCCGGAACCGGCTCCGGACCCAGTCCGGGCGCCAGCCTGGGCGCCGGCTCGGGCGTCCGGCCCAGGCGCCGGCTCGGGCGCCGGCCCAGGCGTCGGAATCGGCCAGGGAGGCCTCCCGGGCGCCGGAAGCAGAAATTCAGCATTTTCAAAAGAAAAATGTGTATTGGTTGGCCTTTTTTCGGCGCCGCCTCGGACCTCGATTTTCCGGGGCCGGCCGGAACCGGCTCCGGACCCGGCCCGAGCGGCGGCCTGGGCGCCGGCTCGGGCGTGCAGCCCGGGCGCCGGCGGAAATGATGCCAGCGCTGCGGGAGCACGATTCGGAACGAGCGGGGCCAGAAAATGAGGCCGGCGCCTCAGCGAGAGCAGCATTTTCTGAAAAAATGCAGGCGAAAACCCAACTCTGGGGAAACCTGTGTGTAAAAAAACAATACGCGGGGGGGTCGAATACTCGCAAGCCGTCATCAGGGGAAGAGGGAGAGTAGTATTGATATCAAGTTAGGTGCGCTCGCGTCAACATCTGACATCCTACCCCTCCCTCCCATCCCTTACCATGGCGCTGATTTCCTCTATCCGCGGACGCGTGTCGTAGCGGACCTGTGGCTCCGCGCGCGTGTGCGTAGTGGGTGGTGGTGCGCGTGCGTGCGTGCGTGTGTGCGTGGTTGTGGTTGTTGTGGTGGTGTGTGTATGTGTGCGTGTGTGTGAGTGTGTGTGTGCGTGTGTGCGCGTGTGCTGTGGTGTGACGTGGTGTGGCGTCTTGGTGGTTTGGTGGTGGGTCAGGTGCGTACGTGCGTGATGGCGGTGGTGGTGGTGGTGGCGGTGGTGGTGTGTGTGTGTGCGTGTGTGTGTGAGTCTGTGTGTGTATGTGCGTGTGTATGTGTTTGTGTGTATGTGTTTGTGTGTGTGCGTTTGTGCGTGCGTGCGTGCGTGCGTGCGTGCGTGCGTGCGTGCGTGCGTGCGTGCGTGCGTGCGTGCGTGCGTGCGTGCGTGCGTGCGTGCGTGCGTGCGGCGTGCGTGCGTGCGTGCGTGCGTGCGTGCGTGCGTGCGTGCGTGCGTGCGTGCGTGCGTGCGTGCGTGCGTGCGTGCGTGCGTGCGTGTGTGGCTGTGTGTGCGCGCGTGTGATGTGGTGTGACGCGGTGTAGCGTGGTGGTGGTGGGTGGGGTAGTGCGGTGGTGGTGGCGGTGCGCGGTGGTGGTGCGCGTGCGTGCGTGCGTGCGTTGGTGGGTGGAAAGTGGCGGTGGGTGTGCGTGCGGTGGGGCGGGGCGTGGTGCGGCGCGGTGGTGGCGGGCGGATGGGCGCGCGAGAAAGAGGCCCGCGCTGGGGCTAGAACGCCATCCTGAACGACGGAGGCAAAACACCGATCCGAAAATGAGGCCCACGCTGCAGCGGGAGCACGATTCGGAACGATTCGGGAGCAGAAATGAGGCCGGCGCCTCAGCGAGAGCAGCATTTTGAAAAAAAACGCAGGCGAAAACCCAACTCCGGGGAATCGTGTGTAAAAAAACAATACGCGGGGGGGTGGGGGGGGCGAATACGCAAACGGCGTCATCAGGGGAAGAGGGAGAGGAGAGTAGTATTCATATTGAGTAATTGTTGAGTAATTGTGGAGGGGGGGAGGGAGGGAGGGAGGGAGGGAGGGAGGGAGGGAGGGAAGCTCGGGCGCCCGGCCCCATCAGTGGACAGGCATGGGTATCCCGTGACATGCTGCCACAGGTGCTGCGCGCAGCGCGCAGATGCATGAAGCGTCACACGTCCGCGCGCTCGCCGTAGCACTTTTTGTTTCAGGGTTGTGGGTGGAGCAATTTGTCGAGGCAGGTTTACCGCACTCTGCGGCTACCCCTCCCCGAACAAGCATTTTTGATACATGCTTGCTTATTCGCTGCGGCGACTGTGCAGTCCGACCCACTAAAAAATGGGGTCGGGAACGATGTCTTTTAACGGCTCGAATTTGCTCGTCCCCGTGCTCGTCCCCGTCTTCGGCCTCAGACTGGATTTGGCCACGTAGACCTTTCCAGAAGGCACGGGGTGGCGGTGGTTCGCCGTAGGCGTATTCGATCAGGAGCACGGAACTATCTATCCCACCACGTGGGATAAACGAGGTGGCGCATTGCCAGCGGTTTCTGAAACATGGGTGGGTGGACTCTGTGCTCAGAATGCATCTATCCATCGTCATATCGCTGTCATATACTGGGCGATGTACTGCGACGCGCGAGTGCGAATAGCGGTGCTCGCCAGCCCCTCAGTGGCGCGCCGATTCCGTGACTCCGAGAGTCGGGCGTCAGCCCCACGGGCCGCCTGGGCGGACAAATCGTGCCCTCCCCCAGGCGCAACATGCTCCTTCCCCCCTCTGGCCTGCTTGGGTGGCCCCGAGTCGGTCACGTAGCCGTTGCAGGCGCGGCACTCCATCTGGCCTGGTTAGGTGGCCTAGGAGGCGGAAACGTCGGCCACTGCCGTTCCAGGCTGGGCCCACCAACTGGGTCAAGGCCTTCCGGGCTGGGCCCACCAACGGGGTTAAGGCGCCCCAAAGCCATATCACTTCAAATCCTCCTCCTCCTCCTCCTCCACCTCCACCTCCTCCCCCCCCACCTCTTCCTCCTCCTCTTCCTCCTCCTCTTCCTCCTCCTCCTCCTCCTCCTCCTCGTCCTCCTCCTCCTCCTCCTCCTTCTCCTCCGCCTCCTCCCTGGACGCAACGTCGTCCAGGGCTGGCCTTTTACCCCAAGGAGCGTCCTCTGAGGGTTTCGCCGCCCCTCAGTTGTATCGTGGCTGCATTGTCGTTGGACAAAAGATCCATTCCTCTTCCTTTTACATAACTCCTCCCTTCCCTGTCGCGCACCGAGGCCGGTCGAACGGGCGGGCCAGGCGCTTCGCCTGAGACTTCCTCACCATTTCTGACGCTGAAGTTTGCCACTTGGTACCGATTTCAAAAATGGACAGTGGGTGGTTTTCAAACTGTGGCTATCGACTCAGCGCCGCGCGCATTCGTCGTAAACATTTGCAGGAGTTTCACGGATTGAGGGCGGGTCGTTTTCAAATTGAGGCCCTCGCCTCAGCGCCGCGCACACTCGTCTTCAAACATTGCAAGAGTTTCACGGGTTGCGAGCTGGCCATTTTCAACATGTGGCTCTCGCCTTAGCGCCGCGCGCATTCGTCTTAACAAATTGCAGGAGTTTCACGGATTGAGGGCGGGCCGTTTTCAAAATGTGGCTCTGGCTCTCGCCTCGGCGCCGCGCACATTCGTCTTAAACCATTGCAGGAGCTTCACGGTTTCACATGATCATACCAGACGTGGTGTTTTGGAAGGGTTCAGTGTTGTGGGGTTGCAACAATTATGTTGACCCGCGCGGTGTTGAAGTCTCAAAGAACGGCGTTCTGGGACGATTCATGATCGTTAAGACGCAGCAGTCAGGTTCATTCGTGGGGCTGGGGTCCCGAAAATTGTGCTATGGCATGCTCCAAGGTCTTCAAATGGTAGTCTTCGAACGAGGCAATCCCCTTAGTACAAATGAACCCGGCGCCTATGAAGAAAAAGGGGAGCTTGGAGGGAGGGAATATTTCAGCATCATTGATGAGTCTTGGGCTTACGCTGGTCGTCGTCGTCGTCTTCTTCCTCCTCCTCCTGCTCCTCTTCCTCGAACTCCATCTCCTCCTCCTCCTCCTCCTCCTCCTCCTCCTCCCCCTCCTCCTCCCCCTCCTCCTCCCCCTTCCCCTTCCCCTCCTCCTCCTCCTCCTCCTCCTCCTCTCCTCCTCCTTCTCCTCGTCCCCTCCCCCCTTCCTCCTCCTCCTCCTCCCGCCTCCTCCTCCCCTCCTCCTCCTCCTCCCTCTCCGCCTCCTTCCCCTCCTCTCCTCCTCCTCCCTCCTCCTCCTCCTCCTCCTCCTCCTCCTCAGTTCTCCTCCTGCCTCCTCCTCCTCCCCTCCTCCTCCTCCTCCTCCTCCTCCTCTTCCTGCTCCTCCTCCTCCTCCTCCCCCTCCCCCTCCTGCTCCTCCTTCTCCCCTCCTCCTCCTCCTCGCTCGTCGTCCTCACTCCTCCTCCTCCTCCTCCTCCGCCTCCTCCTACTCCGTCCTCGTCCTCGTCCCTCGTCCTCGTCCTCGTCCTCCTCGACGCCTCTTCCTCCTCGTCCTCCCTCCTCCTCCCCTCGTCCTCCTCCTCCTCCGGTCCTCCTCCTGCTGCTCCTCCTCCTGTTCCCTCCTCCAACTCCTTCTCCTCCTCCTCCTCCTCCTCCTCCTCCCCTCCTCCTTCTCCTTCTCCTCCCCTCCTCCTCCTCCTTCTCCTCCTACCTCCTCTCCTCCTCCTCCTCCTCCTCCTCCTTCTCACTCCTCCTTCTCCTCCTCCTCCCCTCCCCCTCCTCCTCCTCCTCCTCTCCTCCTCCTCCGCCTCCTCCTTCCTCCTCCTCCTCCTCCTCCTCCTCCTCCTCCCTCTCCCCCTCCCCTCTCCTCCTCCTCCTCCTCCTCCGTCCTCCTCCTCCTCCCCTCCTCCTCCTCCTCTCCTTCCCCTCCTCCTCCCCCTCCTCCTCCCTTCTCCTCCCTCATCCTCACTCCTTCTCCTCTCGTGCTCCCCGTGCTCCCTCGTGCTCCTCGTGCTCCTCGTGCTCCTCGTCCTCTCCTCCTCCTCTCCTCCTCCCCTCCTCCGTCCTCCTCCTCCTCCTCCATCTCCCCTCCCCCTCCTCCCCTCTCCCCTCCCCCGCCTCCTCCGCCTCCCTCCTCCTCCTCCTCCTCCTCCTCCTCCTCCTCCTCCTCCTCCTCGTGCTGTTCGAACGGGCACGAATTGCCGTCAATCTGCGCCTCCATTCCTTCCGTGCCCACTCGACGCTCCTCGGCGTCGGGCTGCCGCATCGCTTCGGCCACGGCGCCACCGCAGGCAGCGGCGGCCCCCGCCGCGGCGTCGTCGCAGGCCGACGCCGCCTCGGGCGAGACGCCGCCTGAGCGGGCGCTCGACTTCAGCAGGAACAGCTCGTCCTGCAGATCTGCCACCTTGAGGTAAGACGAAGCCAGGACGAGGACAAACTCGGGTGAGGATGAAAATCGAGTCTCTGAGATCCGGCGGCTCTGGAGGCTGTCTCCTGCGCTGCGGCCTTCTGAGAGCGTCCCGGAACGCTCTGAGAACGATCCGGAACGCTCTGGAACAGATTTATCAATCCTTGTCCTGGCCCCGTCCGATGGGGGGCTACGTCAGGAGGGGGGCCAGCTCGAGGGGGGAGGCATCGCCCACAGAATCGGCGATGCATCGCCGAGAGATCGGCGACAAGCTTCTCATGGGCTATCAGGCCCCTAGTGGTGATGAACGGGCGATTGGGTGTCGATGCGTCCCTTCCTGAGCCGCTCAGCCTTCTGAAAAAGCCCGCCTCCTCTAGGACGCCTGGTGGTGTATGGGTCACAGCTCGGCCCTCCCGCTGGAAGGCACCCCGAGGCTGGAAAACCGCCGAGAACTGACACCGACGCCCGAAAAATCTCGAACCTCGAGCCCCCCAACGCTTCCCCTGACACCTTCTGGCGATGGCACAGCCGATGCTGCTCCTGCCTTCGCGCACCGCGACCTCGCGATGCGGGACGCGCGGCCACCTCCGCGCCCTCGCCCCGTCCCTGGCGAGGGCCAGCTCAGCGGCCCCTGCCGCGTTGGTACTCTCCGCGCCGATCCTTTACCCCAAGAGGAGGAGGAGGAGGACGAGGAGGAGGAGGAGGAGGAGGA